AAATAATTCGGTAAAAATATAAATTGACTAAAAATACCCCCTTGAAAAATACCAACTTTATATATATATGGAAAAAGCTTTTCCAACGCCTATAGGCGAAAATGAATAGTGATTTCGCCTACCCTCATCACCGTCCAAATTTCATCGTGCAGTCATGATTATCCGGTAATGTTTTATTTTTCATTTTTTTTTTCTACAAATCAAAATGACCTAAAATTTAGAGGGTATGTACATTTTACTGAGGCGCATCTAATAAAAATATAAAAAAAATTATCTGCAAAACATAAATTGACCAAAATACCCCAAAAACTTTTCGGGCGTATTTTGGTCAATTTTTTCATGTAAAATAATTTTTTTTATAATTTTTGAAGATTCCCCTGTTTTTGATGAATACACACTCTAAATTTCAGGTCATTCCAATTTGTAAAAAAAAAAAATGAAAAATGAAATACTACCGGACAAAGGTGACCGCGAGATAAACTTTGGACGGTGATGGGGGTAGGCGAAATCACTGTTCATTTTCGCCTATAGGCGTTGCGTAGTGTTTTTCTTATATATATATAAAGACCATGTTAGGACCATTTGTTTGACCCCAAATTTTAAATATTACTTTTTTCATTCTAGTAAACTATCATCAAAAAGTAAAATTTGAAAACATACCCTAGAAAATATATTCTTAGGCCAAATAATATAGGCCCGTCCATTTTGGTGAGATGCTTAGCTCTAGGCCTTAGAAAGATTTTTTCCCTTTCCAAATTTTTAGATGGCTTTACTATATCATTAGATGAACAATGTTACAAAAGAAAAAAAAATACCTTTGAGTTCACAAAGGCCTAGATCTTGAAATTTTCCATACGGATGGTCTACATTCATTGTTGGAGGGCGGCTCATTAATTGAATTTTGTTTTTTACAGATTGATTATTAGGATGAAGAGAGGGTGTGTAATTTTTGGGGTCACACAAATGCCACAAACATGGTTTTCTAGAAGTGTGGTTTTATTATATGACAATGACATGGTGACATGAAATCACTCCCCTATATATGTATATATAAAAATATATATGTGTGTGTGTGTGTGTGTGTGTGACCATGATGAATCATGATCCAATGAACCTTGATCCTATGTAGTGAATATCTTTCTAAGTGTTTTGGTGGGTTTTACACCATCCATGCAATGAAATTTTTTATCACCATGCATTAGCATGATGGGATTAATTTAAGTGTAGAAAAAGTTTGTTTGTTTCATGCTTTTAAATCTTGATCTCTTCTTTATATAGAAGTATTGGTATGTTGTCTTAGCACCTAACAGTTTACATTTTATTTTTCGCAATTGCACCCTTAGGACTACCTAAACTTGTGATCATCATTGTCTTTGCGTCCTAATGACAACCCAAACTTGTTGGTTGATAACCATTTCAACATAGACATAATCCAAATTTGTTGTTTGATATCCATTTCAATATAAGCATTCACCTCTACTACCCATTTTTATATCAATGCATTACTTTTATTTCTGCAGATTGTGTCTATTGGTTATAATCATAAAATGAGGATCTTGTTGGATACAATTATAACAAAGGTTGTTGATTTCAAGGTGAAACGGGACAGATTTTCTGTAATAAAGGTGAGTTCCTTAAACCATTTAAAATACCTCATCAGGAAAGCATATGCAAGTTTCTGTGACTATGGCGGTTTGGCCTTCCATTAGTTGAATCTTATTGACATCATTACATTCTGCTTATTTTTTGTCCGATATGAACTTATTAATGAGGTTGTTATTTTTTCATACTTGCAAAATCTTCCTAGGCTATTCTTAAGTTGGAATAGTCTAACAATTCCAGCCGAGATGGAAAAGGATATGTTCACCAGTCCTGCTGCTTTCCCTCTTGCTTACCCTTAGTTTGTCTAGTGTCTTTTGGTTGGGGTTGGAAGGTAATTTGTGATCACTGGGGACATGTTCTCCTTAAAGTTTGAAGAGTGGAGGGCACTTGTGGAGTCTCCATCTAGGATGGGTTTGTGAAGGGAAGGTACTGCCAAGTGCCTGTGCTGCATGGGCTGGAACATGGTTTTGTTTCAGTGGCTGCTGCCTGCTGCCCTTTCCATGCCAGGACACAAGACAACAGTCATGATCATACTGCCATTTCTTCTATGCACACCTTGCCCACCATCTTCTTTGTGACTGCATGGAACGAGAATACATCAATAGGCTTTTCGGTTATCTCGATTTATTGGGCTGCATGGTTTGGAAATGTCAAAATTAATTTTCAAAGTCTTGAATCTGTTACCCTAAAAGAATATGGTATATCTTGATTACCACACTTGGAATTAGTTGAGGACTCAAGATTCACCTAACCTGGTGGAGCAGGAGATCTGAAGCTAGTTTTCTAGTGAGTGATCTTGTAAAGAAATGTGGGGATTATGTGTTCTGGATAGACCATTTAGAGATTGGGTGTGGAGAACTTATTTTTTAACTTAAACTATGATCCTGCACTACAGAACTTAAAACTTCCCTGTTCGGGAAAAGAACACATTTGCCAAATGGATTTGTAGCTTGACCTGTGCAGGTAACACTGGTATGTGTTTTGGTCTCCGTGTTTTTGTCTTCCCATTTATTATTTTGATTTGTGGTGTTTCTTCCACAATTACTGATTTTCATACCTAGCTTCAGCTGTATAAGGGTTCTGAGCTATCAAAGTGGAGTGAAATCCTTCAGGTCTAACTTCAGTTATCTTGAGTTTGTTGGCTTCTGGCTTAAGAGGAAATCATAGCTCTGCCATATCAGAATATGCTTATAGACAAGTATATAAATCCAGTATAAAATTTACTTGGTAAATTTCCTGCTCTCTTCAAGTATTTCTTGACCCATGAATTGTGTCCTCAAATATAAAGTGGCTTTTTGAAAGCCAAACTCTATTTCTGTTGCCTGAAATGTACCTGTATGAGTTATATGGCTCTTGAAAATGGCCATTGATGCCAACCTGTAACATCAAATAGTAATTCTGAATCTGCATTTGGAATGCACTGACAAGAATTGTCCCTCATGCATTGTTAAAATTTATCTTCTTCAGGAGACCGTAATAAAGGAGTATCAAAATTTCAAATTTAAGCAACCTTATCAACAGGCAAGTTATTACTGCTCATTGATATTAGAGGATCAGTCTTGGCCTTGGAATGAGGCTCTTGAGGCACTTTCTCATCTTGAGGCAGATGATCTTGCCAAATTTATTCCATGCTTACTTTCAAGGGCTTTCTTTGAGTGTTACACAGCAGGTTTGACCATAACTTGATCTTCTCTAGAATCATGCCATTTTTGTATTACACATCATCTTATCATTTGTATTACCTTGTGAACCATTGCAGGAAATATTTCTTCAAATGAAGCTGAATCTTTGGTGCAGCATATTGAAGATGTTATGTTTGGTGGTACCCAGCCTATCTGCAAGCCTCTTTACCCTTCTCAGCACTTGACAAATAGAATTCTCAAACTGGAATCAGGTGTAAATTATTTCTACCCTATTCAGGGCCTAAACCAGCAGGATGAGAATTCGGCGCTGCTTTACTACATTCAGGTACTCGTTTACCATTTCATATCAAGAATGACATGGCCTTATCATTAGCAAATAATATGACATTAGTATTCTCCATATCATCTGAGTTCCTTTATGCTTGACTTTACTTGGCACTCTGTGAATCTTATTTATATGGTAGCTGTCTTCTGCAATATGTAGCTATGATAGATACCTGCTTAGCAAGAAATGTTTGTCTCTCTGGATGGATATTGATAGCAAAACTAACCTATGGATTGAATGGTGTTGCTGCATTGATCTGGTATAACAACTATAGCATGAGCTATTTCAGGACTGCACAAACCAATACAGTTCAGCTAATGTTGGAAACCTAGAATGCACGAAACAATTTATTAGTAATCACGCACACGTCTTGTGCATTTTATGTGTCTCTTTTCTGGTTATACAGTTCATAAGGAAAAAGTTTCCTGTGATCCCCACAGTCAGTATAACAGCATGGCCACGAGGGTTATGCCATCCAAACAATATTGAATGGTGATGGAGGGAGAGTGAAATGTACAATTTAATAGATAATATGCTTGGTGACATCCCAACTATTGTTTAGAAGATGAAAGAAAAAATTGAACTATCTTGTGAAACCTAACTGCTGCTTATTGGAATTCCTCAAGGTTGGTCAAGATGATTTTAGGTTGAACGTGAAACTCCAGCTTTTTGTTCTCATTGCAAAGCAGCCTGCTTTTCATCAGCTTCGATCTGTAGAGCAACTTGGATACATCACATTTTTAACAAAAAGGTTTGAGCATGTTTCATTTACCCAACTCCTTTGTAGGTTTTGTCAAATCCCTTTCCAGCTTAATAGCATCAATATACAGGAATGATTCGGGAATACAAGGAGTGCAGTTTATTGTTCAATCCACAGTGAAGGTAATTGAGGGGTACTTTCTCTTTTTGCTAAAGTATCTGTGGACTACTCGTCCCATTAAAAGACTCAAATATGTTTATGACAGGACCCGGCCCAGCTTGACGAGAGAGTAGAGGTGTTTCTCGATATGTTTGAGAGTAAGCTTCATACAATGTCAGATGATGAATTCCTTGTAAGTTCTGGTACTTAATATGGGCTTCTCTTTTCATTTCATTATTTGCAGGGCATGAATCATATAAGCTCCACTCAAGGCCTACTTTAGCTCAAAATTTTTCGGTCATTATTGTATAAATTTGACTTGATTAGTCTGTTGGCCAATCTTGAGTGCTCCAAGTTTTGCATCTGGATTGAAGTTCTGTTACAATCAGAAAAGCTACTAAGGAGCTTCTCTTCTGTTTTATCATGGATGCATGTCAAAACATGGACATTGGATAGCAAAATCTGTTTTCGATGGAGTAATAAAGATTTATACTGCATTCCATGATGTTTGTAGCTGTTTATAGCGACAGACATTTGTGTAATTCTTCTAGATATGACGATATATTAATTAAAGATTATTATAAGGGGAAACTCTTTAACAAACCATCGGACTGTGGGAGCAGTCCATTTGGGGCCATCATTGTCCAATGAAATGGATGGTGATGGAGATACAGGTAGGGATCTACATCTACCGCTATGGTCTGTCCTGTTCTGGTGTGTCCTCTGTTTCTCCATCGCTATCAACATATCATTGGAAGCTGAGAACCCCAATGTTCTTACAGTGTTTGATAGATGATCATGTAGTATAAAATTTATGAATACGCATATATAAATTCTGTCACCCATGTACTTTGTTCCTAATACCCCCTTCAATTAGTTTTAGGTGGCCATGGCTGATTTTGGAGATATATTTTCAATTAGAGAGGTGGTTTCACGTGGAGATATCTGTTTGAAAGGAAAATTTAAGATGATATACCATTCAATAAGTGAAACTCCTTCCTAACAAGTAAGGGATATCGATTGTCAAGTCTGTTTTGTCAGCATTGTCACACTCAGCTTTGAATGATAGCTGGATTTGCTAATATCTATGCCTTAAAGATTTCTGCCTTCAGACATCGAAACAATGCATTTCTCATAAAAAAAGGAAACACTCAAAGCTAGTTATTGCCACATAACTAGCACCTTTTCCAAAATATGCACAATTTAAATATGTGCAAAGGTGTGGTTTGCATGAGGTTGCACCCTTAACAATCAAGTAAGGTGCACTCCAAACTGTCATGAGATGCAATTTTGGTGTTGAAGATTCTTAGGATGGTGTGACAGTCTATTTTTATATCTAATTATAAATTTCAAACTCAAAAAATGATTCAAATCAAGCAGATCTATAAATGCACAAAAATCTTGAAAATGGACAGTCCGGATAATGTGTTACAAGATGTACTATTTTTAGGACTTGAAATCTCTTTTTTCTTTATATCTATACATCTCGATGTTGAAATAATCAACTAGATGTTTTTCCAACATCAAAGCAACATTTTCTGAAGGATTTTAGAGGTGCACCTTAATTCTT